GCTGGGTTTGTCTCATTTTGGTGGACTGCTCCTTCTGTATGTGTGTTTGTGTGTTGGTCCTCCAGCTGAATGAATGTCTGTAGCTACAGCAGGTAAAAGCATAAAACCAGCCCTCTTAATAGTACATCAGTACGGGAGCCCTGAAGGGTCAGATTACAAAACACCAGAGAGGCTAGGATCCACTTTATTTACTTAGTCTTTTTAGTATGTCACACCATCTGTCTGTGTTCATCTGTCTGTCTGTCTTTGTCTCTGTCTGTATTTGTCTATGTCTGTCTATCTATCTGTCAATCTATGGGTCTGTATCTATCTCTCTAGCTGTCTGTTTGTCTGTCTATCTATCTCTATCTGTGTCTGTCAGATATAGATAGATAGGCTGCATAGTGCTGCTCATGCTGCCGAACACCACCAGTCCAGGTAGCTTCACCCAAGTAGATGGTCCAGGCAGCCACGTGATGTAGCGTCGATCAGGTCCCCGGTCCAGGCAGCCACGTGATGTAGCGTCGATCAGGTCCCTGGTCCAGGCATCCGTGTAACTGTGATGTAGCGTCGATCAGGTCCCCGGTCCAGGCAGCCACGTGATGTAACGTTGATCAGGTCGCCGGTCCAGGCAGCCTCGTGATGTAATGTCATTCAGGTCCCTGGTCCAGGCAGCCACGTGATGTAACGTTGATCAGGTCGCCGGTCCAGGCAGCCTCGTGATGTAATGTCATTCAGGTCCCCGGTCCAGGCAGCCACGTGATGTAACGTTGATCAGGTCGCCGGTCCAGGCAGCCTCGTGATGTAATGTCATTCAGGTCCCGGTCCAGGCATCCGTGTAACTGTGATGTAGCGTCGATCAGGTCCCCGGTCCAGGCAGCCACGTGATGTAGCGTCGATCAGGTCCCCGGTCCAGGCAGCCACGTGATGTAGCGTCGATCAGGTCCCCGGTCCAGGCAGCCACGTGATGTAGCGTCGATCAGGTCCCCGGTCCAGGCAGCCACGTGATGTAGCGTCGATCAGGTCCCCGGTCCAGGCAGCCACGTGATGTAGCGTCGATCAGGTCCCCGGTCCAGGCAGCCACGTGATGTGATGTCGATCAGGTCCCTGGTCCAGGCAGCCATGTAGCTAGGCAGCCGGCCCGAGAGGCCTCGTAGCTGCGACGTGTGCTGCTAAGGCAGCCGAACACTACCGGTCCAGGCAGCCCCACAGGTGCAGTGCAGCATCACTCAAGCAGCCAGGGTCCCCAGTCCAGAAAGCCTCATAGATGCGATACAGAGTCATTCAAGCCACTGTGATGCAGTGTCACCCAAACAGCCCAAGAAACCTCTGAGCCACGGGTGGAAAATCACTCTCGACTCGGATACAATGGTAAATCCTCAGCCAGCAAGGAAACATTAAAACATACACACAATCAAAACAGCACAAATTATTAACTGATAGAAAGTGGCAGCCATGCTGTGCCAGTGTGCAGCACGCACAGGCATTATGTTTATGTAAGGGAGCCGTTTTGCATTAGTCTCCACTGCTCATCTGCTGTGGCAGTTGAGAAAGCACGCTGGCGCTGCTCAGGCTTGGCTGTCGCTATAGTGCCCCCTGCTGTAATGCTCAGAAAGCGTTCACACTTGCGCTGCAGTATGAATTGCATCGTGACACATTTTGAAACCCGTCTGTGTAGCTTAAAGTATCTGTGTTCATGTACTTGTGTGAATTATGTTTCATGAAGAATACTTAATTACTGAGTGACTCTCAGAACCGCAGTGGAACCTCAGCGTCTTTCAGCACAGGAACCGATGTCTGTCACACTCTGTTCTTTTTTCTTCAGATCTTTTGGATTCTCAATCAATCTGAAGGACCATTTCACCATGCAGAGAACTATTTAAGCATGCCAAGGGTTCTTTGAGTGTTCATGGTTCTAGATGGAGCCACTGTCTTTACTAAAGAACCCTTTTAGAACTATTTTTTTAAGAGTGCAGAACTAAAAGTACTATAAAACAAGTCCATCAGTATTTTACTGAAGTGCAGGTAAGTAGTTACTACACAACTCTGGTAGTTACCACATTTGGCCACAAGAGGGACACAGTGTACAGTGAATAAAAATCTTAGATCAGACTAGAACCAGCAGCTTATAAAACCTCTTCCTGCAGATCAGATCCTCAGCTTCCTGCAGCTCAGTGGACTTGACCGGGCTGTTTGAATGACCTTACTCACTGCAGAAGTGTAGATCACTGACCGTAAGAGAGGAACCCTAAACTCCAGGCTGTTCAGTAACTTATTTTTGAGGAAAAAAGTTTGCATGATTGTTTAAAGTGTATTAGATGTGAAGTGTATTAGATGCTCTCAGAGGGGAGAAGAACCTTCAACCTCAGCAGCAGAACTTACCTGGGGGGGGTCCAGTTCCACCCACTAGTCAGACTCCCCCAATCGCACTCCCCCAGCTCTAGGAGGATGAAGGTAAACCCAGTCTCTCTCTGAGTTCTGAGAAGCTCCACCTCATCTTTACAAACTGCCGCTAACGCAGCGTCACTGTACAGCTGAAGGAGCTCAGAGGAGACTCTGACCTCCAGACCTTTTATTTCAGCTAACGGACGTCTGCGCTGACTGGCATCGCCCTGAGTGGGGGGGGGGCATCTGCCCACCCAGAGAAAGCGAGGACACCTGTGCTGTCTTGGACTCCTGGGCACGGACGGCTGTAGCATAACCAGGAATCAAACTCGCGATCTCCTGATAACAGGGCCAACGCTTAGACAGTCTCACCACTTGGGAGCCCTGTGATTGGTTGTTTAGTTTTCTGTGTTGTTTCTGTTTGGCCTGCGAGGCTGTAGTTCAGCGTATTTCAGTCTTACACAGCGTGCAGTACTGTCACACTGTGTAGTACTTCCACACCAATAAAGTCCTCCGTTCTTTGTGTTTAGCAGAGAAGCTGTTCTGTCCTCTCCTGTTCACTTTTTACCAAATTTTGAATTTCAGGAATTGTCCTCAACAAGCCGACTGCCCACAGCGCTCGCTGGTGGAGTTATTAGTGGATTAGCCTTTGTTGTCCCTACCTAACAAGCTCTATTTGAAGTATGAATCAGGTTTGTTGAACTGAACCATGTCAGTGAAAAGCTGTTTAACGTCAGCTTACTCAAATATGGGATGTTGACAAGGTTCAGAAAAGGCTTAAAGCAGACTGATAAAACCAACAAACCAGCGTGTACTGTTAGCATAAGGCATTGTTAGCAAAGAACAGGTGTTTGCTAATGCTTTGAGTTCGTCACCTAGACAGACAAGCCTGTAACGAAAGACGCCGGGCGATGTGGCAGGTGCACAATGGGACTGTACTGTGTTTTAGGAGCAAGAGGTGAACCTCAGTGAGAGGGACGTCACAGTTCAGGGCCAGACTGTCTGTAGCTCTTTAGCCTACAGGGTACAAACTGTACTGTGGTGTAACTCCACACCCAGAACCTGGCTCTGCAGGTGGCGGGGGAGGGGGGTCCTATAGTAAGACCAGCCCTCACAAAACCATAAATCAGTATAGCTGAGGAAAGTTTTATTTTACAGTTAAATATGACTGGATGTTTTAATAAAAAATAAAATGTACAACTTGACAAAAAAGAGCAAATCTGAATGAGTAAAAAGTCTTATTTTTTATTTTTTGCTAATATAATTGAGTAGAAGTACAAGTATTCAGTTTCAGCAGTGAAGTACGAATGTACTGAAATACTGTACCAAAGTGCAACCACTCGAATATTTTCCATCCCTGAATGTAGCTAACATGAAATGGAAGCTTATTAGCTTCAACAATTAGCACCATGCTAGCTGCATGCCTAAATCATAGATGATCTAAATCTAAAGATTTAATTATTAACTCATATTAGAATAATGTGAGTGGTAAACTCTGTTAGACTGTCTGATATACTATTGTCTATCAACATGGATGCTACCTACGGTTTTTAGCTATGCTAGTGTCAGAAACCACACAGGTCTCTTAGAGATTTCCTATCCCGATAAAGCTCCACAGCTGGAGTAGAGAGTCTTCACCAGTGTGTTTGAGGTGATCAGACTTTAGGGGTCTTAAGATGTGTTTTGACCCTCAGTTGAGTCTAGGTCAGGGGTCACAACCCAAATGTTAAGAAGAGCCATTTTGTCCTTTCAACAAAAATCAAGCCACCTTGGGAGCCACAACACTTTATGAACATTTTATTGAAATAATGTTTTACCATCTTGGCTGTAAATATATCTCAGTATGTGCTGATGTTCTAGTATAGGATAAAAAAATCGAAAACACAGACTTACTTTGCTCTGCTTTAATCTTTAGCTCAGCTACAGCTGCTTTTCTCACATCTCCAGCAGGAAACTTTTCCACAAGTAGAACAGTTTCCTGTAAAATGTCTCTCAATGTTTGACTTTTTACCAGGCTGAAGCTTCTCATTCGCCAGCTACTTGTTCGATTTTTCCTGTTCCACCTTAAATGGTGCCTGAGGTGCCAGAATGTAACTGCTGCACTATTTAAGGTGGAACGGGAAAATTCGTATGAGAAGCTGGCGAATGAAAAGTGACTTTTTTAGTGTTTGCTAAATTCACAAACACATTTTTCTCTGCTGAAATAACAGGTCAGTTGTGGTCATCAGGCTCACTGTGAGTAACTTCACCAAACGCCGTTTATTCACCATTTAAACACAGAGCAGAAATTAAACCACAGAGCGGTTATTTTTGTTTTTTTGCTGGACAGCTGTGGCTGTCGGACCGAAGGCTCCATCGTCTCTGTGAGCTACGAGAATTTGCATGTTGTTGACGTGATCGGCTGCTTCACAGCTCTTTAGAACAACTTCATTCATTTTAACTGTGTTACTGTCATCATTTATATTGTATATATATATGATTTAGTGATTGTTCTACTTTATTTAGGATGGTCATTAATTTGCGTGATTTCTCTTAATGGGAGGTTCAGGTTCTTAAAGCTCAAGCTCCTCCCCTTCCACTGGTGTCGTTCCTCCTGGTTGAGAGTCACTTGAGTAGAACTGAACCCAACAGTGGGA